GTTGGGGTTTTTTTTGGTGCTGCTGTTTTCAATGCTGGTTCGGGGGGGAGGAGACCTCTAAGTTTGTGGTGCTTCCAAGGTGGTATGATCTAAGGAGAGGTGTGGTCACTGCTTTCCTGGCCTGTGCTTTGGTCTTTAACCAGGAAGGGACCTTGTTCTCCTATAGCTACAAGTGCTAATGCTCCTCTTTGCCCTGGAACTGTGGCCTGTAATTATGCATGGACAATGCAACAAGGTCTTCAAATCAGTGCCAGTAAAGGGTCCCTTACAATCTCTTTCTGATCAGTTGTCTAACCCTCTCTTACCACCTATGAGTTGAGAGCTCCCAAAGTTGCTGCTGCCACTGCTGCAGCTGCCTCCAAGGCCTGCTTCTGACATTGGCTATCACTGTGCACCAGGCCCAACCACTGAGTTGGTGTGACAGACCTTTCTGCTGACCTAAGTTGTCTTGGGCTGGAATTTGATTTGATTTGAGGTGTTATTTTAAAGTTGTTTGGAGAGGAATTTGGGAGAGTTCAATTGAGTTCCTATCTACTCCACCATCTTGGCTCTGCCCTTCTCCATCTTAAAGTTCACTTAAGATATGATAATAAACAACCAATGTCTTTACTTTTCACTTCTTCCTAGTCTTCAAAGTCAGCTACTTGTTTGGATAACTTTGGTTGGAGTTGTTTTACTTGCATTCATTCATGTCTTCTCAACTTAATCCTTTCTTCTAATTTGGTATTGATTTTGAGCCTTTTTAGGAAGGGCTGTGCTGCACACAGATTATGAAGTGATTACTATGATAGTAACCAGTCACATCCTGTCTTAAGATATAGTCAATTTCATTTTTAAAAAATGGTATTTGGTGATCACCACATCTAGGACCTTCTACCTTTCTTCTTCTGTACATATTTGGTTCCCCTAGCTGCTCTTCTCAAATGTATCTTCTTAAATGCCACTCCTATTTCCTTGTATACTTCACAACGGGTATTGTTGGGTTAGAATCCAAATGTGGTAGCTCATAAAATACTGGCACATCTATTTCATTTCATATCTATCTGTTGTCTCCCAGTTTTTTCCATAAATGGTCACAGCATAATCTGATATCTTCTTGAAGAAAATATTCATGACATACAGATATAAGGTATCTGAGTATAAGTAACCTCTGAACCTTTGGCATCTTTCATTTTCTTCTTCCCCACACCACATTTTCCTTTTCTTTTAAAATGACTTAGCATTAATACACTTATTAATACTTATTTCAATAATTCAACTATTTATAATCTAATTTATATTTTTGTAAGGTTTTTTATTTTCCTGTACTGTATAGAGGAGACATAATGGCTTCCATACAGTCCTGCCTCTGAGTTCATCACAATGTGTCCTCCCAAAGTCCTGAGAGCCATATTCACTTTCTTCTACCACACTGAAGATAACAGAGGAGCACTCAGGTTTCCACTTGATTCCCCACGTAAACTTCCATCACCTTTTTTTGCTCACATGCTTCCATGATGATAACCTTTATCCTACTTCATTGTTTTAAAAAAAAGTTTGCTGCTTTTTCCATTTTAAAAAATATCACTCTGACTTCCCAATGACTGGCCTCATTCCCTAAGAGAAGCACATCTTTTAACAAACAAGTACTTTAAAAGCACCTAAAAAGCACTTTCGTCAGCAAACATGAATTATCTGCCAGGCAGGAAAGACAGCACCAATTTAAAATATGAATGTATTTAGAGAATTATCACTTTAGAAAGCTGAAAGAAGAAGTAAAATCAGCTAAAAGAAAGCCTAATAACAGACTCAACTAAGCAAAGTTATGCTGAGGGAATTGAAGGATGAATATGGAAGGAAAACAACAGAAAAAGAATGGGAAAAAAATCTGCAAAGATTTTTACAACAGATTTTTTAAACCATTAATAAAAATAATAAAGCCACCACACATAGACTCTTAACATCACAGTCGTGAAAATGTTTATCAAGACTAATGATACAAAAAAAAAACCGAAGACAAAAAAAGCAGCATATAAAAAAGAGATCTACTGCTGGAGGTGACACAATTGTGAAATTATCTAAACATCAATTCAAAGGGTATCTGAAGGAGAGAGGATATCGAAAATATGTGCAAAATCTTGGACTACATTAATATTGGAAAAAAAGGTGAACAAGAGGACATTAACAATTGTCAACCAAAATCTCTACACACATAGAAACATGTGCATATGTATGTATATACACATATGTGTGTACATATATAGACATATATTTAAATTTTTATAAAAGTCATCTACGCACATGTCAAGGGAATCCTTGGTATTAATAAGAAACAGGCAGGTTTTTACAACCAATATTCCATAGAAGACCACATCTTGACAATTATACAAACTGATGGAAAGATAGGGAATAGGAGATCCTATTTTGTTTATTTTTGTTGATTACTAAAAAAAAATTCAATTGAGCAAAATGATACCTTAAGTTCTCCTTTTCAATGGGGTATCTCTCATCAATACATCAAACTTGTATGCAAATAAACAGAAAGTATATACGTAATCTGGAAGAATTTTGCTCTGTTGTTTCTACCTTTTTTAGTCTCCCCTTAAGTAGGCAGGTGATTTAGTAGTAAGAGTGCTAGACCTGGAGTCAAGGAAGACCCGAGTTAAAATCCTACTTCAGACATTTATTAGCTTTATGATCCTAGGTTTGTGTACCTTAAAGTGCTATATAAATGCTAGCTATTATTATCCAAATGATTCAGAGGGGAGAACTAAGCAGAACAGATTTGGGAAACTTTTTACCATAAAGGCACTATGCTTAGGGTCATGCTAATTCCTTCTGTGCCAAAGGACAAAATAAAGAAGGACGGCTATATTTTATATAGCCTTTTGAGAACTGCTGGGTTGAGTTATGAGAACAACCATATGTTAGGAAGAAGTTGCTTTTATGGTTCTATGTGGGGATGAGCCTAGCTACTAGGAAAGAAACTGCTATAATCAGCTCTCCTGAATCTGCTGGGGACCTCAAGCCATGGCACATCCTATCTAGCTACTTTGCTACCCTGCCTCCTTTGACCTTAGAAATTTTGGGAGACTCCTTCACTTCCCCCTTCTCTATGAATCAGAGAACTATGTGGGGAATGTGTCATCATCAATAAGCAAATGAGAACAGAGGGAGAAAAGAAAGATGAAGAAGCAGAATGGATGTTTTACTTTCACTTTAACTTCATATATATTAAAACTGAAGTGATGTCTATAGACACTGTAAGTCTGAATCTATTGGGTACAAAAAGGAGAGAAACTCAGAGCGAATTATTCTAAAGCATGTGGGCAGAGCCAAGATAACTGTAACAACTACTCTATATCTTAATATTAATCAGTCCTAGACTGTGAACTTAAGAAACAGTAATCTGTACAAGGGGGGAAAGTTTCTTTCACAGGAAAATGAATGGCCAAAGCTGTCAGCTACTATTAAGAGGAGAGCTCAGGTTCTGAGTACCCTCTAGTGGCCAGAGGACAACTTAGCAGACTGGTAAAAGGTTAAGAATTACACTCAGCCAACGAACAATTCATAAATTCGAAGTGCACACAAAGTAATTTGTTTTGGTGGTGAGGATGCTAACAACTAAGGGTATCAGGAAAAGGCTCTAAATAAGCAGTGTCTCAGGAGATCATTGTCTTACCTGGAATGTACTGCCTCCATCTCTACCTAGAGGCAGCTAGTTGACCACACTGGATAGAACACTGTGCCTGGAGTCAAAAGACTCCAATTCAAATCCAGACATTTAGTAACTATGATTTGGGGCAATTCTCTTAACCTCTTAATTTCCTCAAATATAAAATGGAGATAATAACCACTTACCTCCCAAGGCTGTTGTGAGGATCAAATGAGATAATATTGGTAAAGTGCTTAGCCCAGGGCCTGACGCATAGCAGGTATTTAATGAATGCTTGCTTCCCTCCTTCCTTCCTCAACCTCACAGAATCTCTCTCCTTCAAGATACTGCTCAAGTACAACTTCCCACAGCAGAGGTTCTTAACCATTTTTCTTTCATTACTATGGACCCTTTTGGCAGTCCAGTAAAGCCAACAATCCCTCCTCAGAAGAATGTTTGTTGCCCATATTCACCTCTAAGTTTATTAAAGGTTAGATATAGTTTTTTTCCCATCCACATTTCTCCACAAACTCCTAAGGGTTCTGTGGATCCCAGGTTAAGAATTCCTGTTCTACATAAAGCTTTTTCCAGATACAACTGGTAGTGAATTCCCTATCTTGTACTGATTTTTATTGTGTGTATATGTGTGTGTGAACACACAGTTTCTCCTGATAAAATGTTAAGTTCTTTCAAATTAGAGACTGCCTTTATTCACTGACTGACTTTTCTTGTTCACTTTCAAACTTTGATAATATAGGCAGAATACACATTTATAAATGACTATTCAATCAACAAATATACTAAAATGATGGGGTTTTTTTAGTTTGAGCTATGATTTTATTAGTAGGGAGAACTTCTGATATATAAACTCTCTCCCTCGAAGAGACTCCTCTATAATTTATAGTCTTAGAAACTGGCCTGGGAGCAGCTAGGTGGTGCAGTGGTGGACACAGCACTGGTCCTGGAGTCAGGAGGACCTGAGTTCAAATCTGGCCTCAGACACATAATACTCAGGAGCTACGTGACCCTGGGCAAGTCACTTAACCCCATTGCCTAGCCAAAAAAACAAAAACAAAACAAAAACTGGCCTGGGGCTCTAAGAAGCTAAGTAACTTGTTTCTAGTAACATGGCTAATACATGTCAGAGGCTACCTCTCCAAGAGATACATTAAATGTGTTTAACTACTATTATTATTGCATCTATTCTATTCCCCCTAGTTTCCTGGGAGTTGATCTCTTCTGAATCTACATGTGTCCTCTGGACTCCACCACTCTCTGGATTCTGTGTGGTTTCAGAAAAAAAAAAATTCTTCACTATGTACTGACTGTACCCCATCACCATTTCAGAACATGGAGAGAGAAAGGGGAAAAAAAGAGTTTCAAAGTTTTTTCCTCTAAAAACATTCTATTTGGTCCAAATCATATTTTACAATATCTTTTTCACTGTCTTCTCTTGTATATACCTTTCTTTACATTAGTTATGGATATCAAATGTCAGTTTGCCTTGGTTTGGAGGCTCTTGTCAAGTTTTTCATAGAACTTCTTCACTTTTTCACCCCCTGCAATAGATAGAGGTGGTTAGTTTATTTAGGCTAATCATTACCATGAAAATTTTCAAGCAAGATTATCAAAACTACCATTAAATGATGTTTCTTCTTGTTGCCTTTGGATACACAATGAAACTAATTTCTTTATTTAACCCTCTATGAAGAAACGTGAGATGTCCTTTCACATTCTCATTTTGAAAAGTTGTACTGATGCTTTTTGTTTTTTAATCACAGTTCCAACGTTTCCAGATATTAACACCTCCTGGGCTCTCAGTAAGCCTTTACATTAATAAAGAGGAACATTTAAACTAAGTCAAATGAATGTCCTTTATTTAGCTTTATCTTATTTATGCTTTTTTCTTGCTTCATTTTAAGCACTAGAACATTATGATGTGATTTGCCTTCTCTAGTAGTATAATAATCAATTAGCTGGTAGACAAAGATAAACCAATCCCTCAATAAATACTTAATCACCTACTTATGGGCCCTATCCATTGCTAGATATACAAATAAAAAGAATAAACCAAAAAGATCTCACAATAAAAGCAACAATGTTGCTTAATGTTTGTAGATGGTGTGAATACAGCCAGGTTCTCAGAATGAATACTGTGAAGGAATGAACACATTATTCAAATTTGTACTTTCAAAGTTGAAGTGTGTAAAATGTAGTAATTAGTTCTAGCCCAATGGAAATAGGCAATTAAAATAAAAAATAAGTTTTTAATATCTATTAATGCAATATAACAGCAAAGGGAAAGAAAATTGTATTTCTGATTCCAGTTTATTACAAAGTAACAGAGTATTTATAAAAAAAGGAAATTTTTTTAAATAAAAAAAATTACAGAATATCATACCTAAAGACGTTTACACTGATATTTGACAAAAACATCATCCTTGTTATTTGAAATACTTTTTGTAGGATAGACTAAACTGTCCTCTTCTTTAAATCTTCATATATATACTAACAGGTAAGGATGGCTTTATTCACATCTTGGCAAATTTGCATACTCACATTCTTACACAATGAATGAAGTGTGTAATTGGATGACCTGGGATATCACCTAAAATCATGAAAGCTTAAAAAGTGACATTGTTGTCCTTGCAATATTTTCAACAAGTGGGCTAACAGTCTTCAAAAACAGTTTTAGTCACCCATACTTTCTTATTTGACTATCAAAGAACTGGAAATGCTTTCAGAGTGCAAGGACTTTGAGGATGCTAAACAAGCATTGATTTTCAGCTTAAAATCCTCTTTAGCATTATCTTACAATAAAACAAAAATTTTAAATAAAAAAATCTAAAACATTAAAAATCCATAGACCATTATATCCAGCTTCTCCAATTATTTATTCAAATCTTTAGGATATTTAGCTGCTACATCCTCATTTGTACTAGCTATCTCTCTGGTAGTTTTAACATTATGCAATTAAACTCAATTTTTAAAGTGAACTATTCTTTCCACTTACTTTCAGTGCTTTAAACAAATTTGAAGCCTTTGTCTGAATATCTAAGAGGAATGTGTTTTTGATTGTAATCTTCAATCTATGCAGCTAACTGATGCTCAATTTCTATCACTATGTTTATTTCCCATAGTTATTTGCAAACCACAAAAAGCTGGTGCAACTTTGTCTTTTATTTTTCATGTTTATAATATTCTGTACTATGGATTCAGGCATTTTGACATTTCATCCTATTTTACAGTTAATTTTGACTACATTCATGACATTCAACTACTTCAAATTTTTGTTCTAATGTAATAATTTGCCTCTTCTTTTTTGGACTACTAATGTTTCCACCTGAAATAGTCTCCCTTTTGTCTATTTTGTTACAGACTCTTAAAAAAAATAGGCCCTCCTACCTTTCCAATCTTCTTACACCTTACTCCCTCAACATGTACTCTTCAATCCAGTGACACTGGCCTCTTGGCTGTTCCACAAATAAGATACTCCATCTCTCGGCTCCAAGGCATTTTCTTTGACTGTTCCCTATTCCTGGAATACTCCCCTTCTCTGCTCTGCCTACTGACCTCCCTGGCTTCCCTTAAGTTCCAACTAAAATCCCATGTTCTACCGGAAGCCTTCCCCAACCGCTCTTAATTCCAGTGCCTTCCCTCCTCTTGTATGTAGCTTGTTTGTATATATTTGCATGCTTATTGTCTCCCCCATTAAATTGTGAACTCCTTGAGGGCAGACACTGTCTTTTGCCTTTCTTTGTATCCCCGGCATTTACTACAGTATCTGACACGTAGTGGGTGCCTACCGATAGAAAAAAAACACAAACACCAAACACCACTACAACTACTGGTAATGAGGTGTGCAGCAGTACATTACATCCACACAGGTGTCACACTGACACTTTTTGTTTTTATATCTCCTTGATTTCTAAACAGAGGAAAATGAAATTTAATAGAAATGAATGTAAAGCCCCACCCCACCCTGCCACCGTGGCATTAAAAATCAACTTCCTAAGTAAAAAGTGGGACACGCAAGATTAGGCAGAAGGTTATGTAAAAAAGATGTTAGGGTTTTGGTGGGCTATAAGGCCAGTGAGATCTCAATAGTGAGACCCAAAAGTTAAAGAAGCAAATGTGTTGAGAATCAAACTGTCCAGATGAAAGGAGGTGATATTCCTGTTGTACTGCACCCTAGTCAGAATGTATCTAAATTGTGCTCAGTGTTGTGTGCCACATTTTAAGAAGGACATGAGCTGGTGATTGACCAGGAATTTGAGATCATTACAAATGAGGGTCAATTGCTTGGCCTAGAAAACACATAGGGATAGATTTGATAGCTGTCTTTAAGTATTAAAGAGCTAGCACATGAAAAAGGGATACATTCTATTTAGTCCTAAAGGGCAGAAATAAGAGCAATGAGTAGAAACTGAAATGAAGCATAATAAAGACTGGTGTAAGTAAAAACTTCCTAATAATGAGAGCTGTCCAACAATGGAAACGGGCACCCTCTGGGGATAATAGATTTCCTCTTATTAGAAATCTTCAAGAAAAGTCTGGATGATCACTTATAGTGATGTTGTGGTAGAGGTGGAACTATACGGCCTCCGAGATCCCTTTTAACTCTGTCTTTTTCTTGACACTAAACCAGTTCTTTACCTTTTGTGTCAGGGACCCCATTGGCAGTCTGATGAAGCCTACAGACCCCTTCTCAGAATGTTTTTAAATACATAAAGTATATAGGATAACCAAAGAAAGCAAAGTTTGGTCAACATAAAAACATTACTTTTTCCCCTACACAAGTTCATGGACCCCCTGAAATCTATCTATGGATCCTATAGGGATTAACTCCTGGTTAAGAACTTCTGCACTAGACCTTAAAACCCCAAAGGCTGAGATTGTGCATTCTTCATTTTACTATCCCTCACAGTTTCTGCACATAGCAGGCTCTTAATGCAGATAATCTAATCTACCTTTCTAGATTTTTATTTTATCTCCTCATAACTGACTACAGTTCAGCCAAACTGGATTACCCACGTTCCTTGATCTTGTTCTGTTGTCTCCCTAAGTCCTTACCTTTGTACCTGTAGCTTTCATTCATGAAACAGATAACCCCAACTCTCCCTCCCCCATTTCTGCCTATTGAGCTCTTTTTCCTTCTTTAAAGTCCCCGATCCATGAGGCCTTTCTAATCCTCCAGCTAGAAGTTATCCATCTGGTTGATTCTCTCAGGCCCTGCAGCATAACTGTCTAATTTATATTGTAAATATTTGTATATATTTCCTCCCCTTACTAGATTACAATGTTTCTTAAGGGCTTCAACTGTGTCATCTTTAATCCTTGTATTCCCCAAGCACTGAATCCAAGGCCTTAGATATATATAAGGCATAAATAAATGTATGCTGAATTGAACAGAATCTAGTATAACCACTTATTTATATACATGAAAGGCTATCGGTATGGCTCACCTAGCCCTTATTGCACACTGCCTTGTATTCTTAATTTCTTCACCCCTTGTGTAAATTCCTTTATAGCACAAAGTATGAATCACCTACAGGAACAGGGATAGAGGATTTTTCCGTTTGCTCTCCTGAGTTCTGGAAATATCTTGGCACAAAATAACTTGGAAGGATGGCACCCACTCCATCCTTGCAATTATTTCTGTTACAAAGTATCAGAGCACAATTTTATCACAATAAACAAAACCAGAAAGAACAAAGAAATCCACACCCCCTCAATTCCCAAATCAGTGCTTTGGTAAGCACAATACCTGGCAGTCTGCTTCCAACTAAGAACTAGAGGTACAGCATCCATGTAAAAGATGTTGTTAACCATCAAGTATTATATAGTATCATCCATTATTATTATTACTATTAGCAATTCCAAAAATAGTAGGTACCTATTATTTGTAGGGCTCTATGCCAGGCTGGAAGATAGAAAGACCTATCTGTGTGTGTGGATATAAATATAAAAATATATAAAAATATGTTTATATACATACAATGCTCCTGCCCACCTGGAGCTCCTCACAGAACAGGGAGAAAAAGATATTTATATATAATACCAACTGCTTGGTACAATGGTGACTGTAGGCTTTGGATTCAAAGGAACTAGGTTCAAATCCTAGTTTTACTGTTGTTTCTCCTTCGTTTCAAAGAGGACCAATGACATCACAGGTGATGTCTTGACTTGTTCATGAACTGGATTTAAAAGAGGAAGAGCTGAACAAGGTCATCAGCCTCATTCTCTCTTCCTAAGTCATCAAAGTCCAGTAGCAGGACAAAAATCAAGATAACTGGTGATGGCCTGGGACACAGTGGATGACTTTGGCATCTTCAATGTCTGACCAAGCTCTAAGCACTCCACAGCACCTGCTTCAGCCACCTTCATGGATGTTGGAATAAATTGTTCTCATCTACCCACTCTGCTAGGGAAAGTCTTCACATGCTTAGAGTAGACATTTTCCTAATTCACTGATGGGTTTGAGGGCTATCCATTACCCTCAACCTGGTCTGCCAAGATGTTTTACTGGGGTGTTCATGCTCCAGCTTCTTGGAGCTGT